TTTTGTTTTGTTTTGTTTTGTTTTGTTTTGTTTTGTTTTGTTTTGTTTTGTTTTGTTTTGTTTTGTTTTGTTTTGTTTTGTTTTGTTTTGTTTTGTTTTGTTTTGTTTTGTTTTGTTTTGTTTTGTTTTGTTTTGTTTTGTTTTGTTTTGTTTTGTTTTGTTTTGTTTTGTTTTGTTTTGTTTTGTTTTGTTTTGTTTTGTTTTGTTTTGTTTTGTTTTGTTTTGTTTTGTTTTGTTTTGTTTTGTTTTGTTTTGTTTTGTTTTGTTTTGTTTTGTTTTGTTTTGTTTTGTTTTGTTTTGTTTTGTTTTGTTTTGTTTTGTTTTGTTTTGTTTTGTTTTGTTTTGTTTTGTTTTGTTTTGTTTTGTTTTGTTTTGTTTTGTTTTGTTTTGTTTTGTGTTTTGCTTTGCTTTGCTTTGTTTTGTTTTGTTTTGTTTGTTTATTTTGTTTTGTTTTGTTTATTTAGTTTTGTGTCACCAAACGAAAGTGGAAAAATAATAACAGATTTTCCAAACATTCCCCGTCTGCCATTGGTTGAAAAACATATAAACTCAAGTCAGTTTTGCTGTGTCAGGTTGGTCAGGATGCTCAATAATATAGTTTGCACTATTTAGTTTACTTACTTTGTATATTAAATTAAGAAAGTATTTTAACATCAAATAAATGTAACTTTTAATACAATCTTTTTTCAAAGTTGGTCTTAAATTGGTCTTTTTTTCAATGATTAAATGATCTTAAATTTAATTCCTTTAAATATGTAGATAGTTTTATATCTGTGGTGTCAGTTATGCAAGATAGCAGTCCTCCCACCTTTCATACACCCACAGAGTTTCTCGTAATCAAGCACTACTCCTGCTCATGACACGTTCTCTGTTCCACCCCCTCTCTCTGTTTCTCTAGGGGTGGTATCGGCGCGTGCTGGTGCTGTGCTGGACCGGGAGGCTTTCTCTGTGCCGCGGGTGGAGCTGTTTCTGCTTGGGGAGGATGTGGGAGGTTTAAACAGCACCGTTCCACTCACAATCACCATCCTCGACATAAATGACAACCCACCTGTCTTCAATCCATCCAGTTTCGCTGTACGCCTGCCAGAAAACAGCCCCACAGGTGAGAGAGACTGATGGAGGTAGAAGCTACTTTAATCTGGTTTGTTGGTCCCCATTGCAAAGAGTGGGAGTGTAAACAGCACCGTTCCACTCACAATCACCATCCTCGACATAAATGACAACCCACCTGTCTTCAATCCATCCAGTTTCGCTGTACGCCTGCCAGAAAACAGCCCCACAGGTGAGAGAGACAGTATCAACTGATGGAGGTAGAAGCTACTTTAATCTGGTTTGTTGGTCCCCATTGCAAAGAGTGGGAGTGTGTTGTTGTTGTTGTTGTTGTTGTTGTAATAATAACAATAATCAATATAATAAATATTGCTAATAATTAATGTTATAGTTAATAATTCATATTTATAAGTATTTTATTTTTATAAGTATTGTTTATTTACAAATTTATTTTATTTTTTTATTTTATTATTTCTTCGTTCATATATATATATATATATATTTCTACATTGAAGTAAAGCTGAAATAAAATAAAATATAAATATTACATTAAAAAACATTTGAAATACTGAACAAAACAAGTTTCATTTGAAATACTAAAATTGCTAAAACTAAAAATGTATCATTGTGTGTATTTTCAGGTGTGGTAGTAACGCAGCTATCGGCGAGTGACGCTGATGGCGGCTCTAATGGTTGGCTGCAGTATCGGTTAGACAGCGGCGCTCAGGACCGTTTCATTGTTGACGCTCTCTCTGGTGCCGTTGTGGTGGGCAATGCTACACTGGACCGAGAGGAGCGTAGCTCGTACCGTCTAGTTGTCATAGCAACTGACCGAGGCACACCCCCTCTCTCAGGAACGGCGACGTTAACTGTTGTTCTGGACGATGTCAATGACTCTCGTCCTCGTTTCATACGGCCTGTGCAGACTATCAGCGTTAACGAGTCAACACCGCCAGGAGAGGTTATAGCTACGCTCACTGCCGAGGACCCTGATCTACGACCCCGACTGGAGTATTACATCATCTCTGTGGAAGCAAAGGATGATGGGAATAATCCAGTGGATGGGCTGCAGCAGTCGTTTGGAATTGACTTTTACACAGGTGAGCAATTAAGATATTTTTGCTGCAGAAGTAGCACTTTTAGCCCTCTGAGATGTCACATGTAGCTCTTCAATTGTAATTCAGCAACTAAACACTATACATTTTTATAAAAAATCTATTTTCTATGGAGAAAATGAATTTGATTTTTACTTCTGGGAACCATGTTCTGTCGTTTTGTGTTGATATTTGTGTCCATCTTTATTCTCAGGTGCTGTGTTTGTACGAAACCCCTTGAACCGAGAGCTGGTTGCCACTTTTGAGATCATCGTTTCAGTGCATGACAATGCCAGTGATGTTATTGACATGTCCGTCAGTGTACCCAACGGTAAGAAAGATCTTTCTGTCTACTTACTTCTTTCTGTCTTTCTGTCCCTCCTGTTTTCATTTGTTCATCTATTTATTTTACTCACCCTCAGGTCATCCAAGATGCAGATGAGTTTGTTTCTTCATTGGAGCTTGGAGATTTGGAGAAATTTAGCATTGCATCACTTGCTCATCAATGATTCCTCTGCAGCGAATGGGTGCCGTCAGAATGAGAGTCTAAACATCTGATAAAATCATCACAATAATCCACAAGTAGTGCACACAGCTCCAGTACATCCATTAATGTCTTGTGAAGCGAAAATCTGGTTTATTACAAATACGCTTGTGGATTATTGTTTTGAGCATCTGTTTGAGCTCTCAGCATCTGTTCAAGCTCTCATTTTGACGGCACCTGTTCCTTGCAGAGGATCCATTGGTGAGCAAGTGATGTAAATGCTGCATTTCTCCAAATCTGTTCCGCTGAAGAAACAAACTCATTTCTATCTAAAACTCATCTACATCTGCAACTATTCCTTTAAGTTTGATAACATTGCAATCTTTTTTCTTTTATTGCATCTACTGAAAAGACCAGTGTGTGCTCTGGGCTTATTAACTGGCTTGACTAGCAAAGTTAACCAGAAACCATGCTGGTAACCAACTTCCAGTTTGTCAGGTTTCCCTTCCCATGATTTTTTTTTCTTGACCAGCACTAAATCAGCCTGGGGGAAACATTTAGTTTCCTTTCCTCTTTTCGGGGAAATCAACTCATTTAAATTGTATTTCTCCCCACAGCTAAATTAACCATCAACGTGCTGGATGTGAATGACAACGCTCCTCGTTTTCGTCCTTTCGGGGTAGCGAACTTCTCCGAGAGGATTCTAGAGGGTGCTGTGTCTGGTACCACACTGCTGTCAGTGACGGCTGTGGATCCTGATAAAGGGCCCAACGGACAGATCATCTACCAGCTCCTACACCTGCCCCGTGGAGACTACATAAGACTTGAAGACCCTTCTACAGGTTACACACATGAATATATTCACATTTCTATCAGTGGTCTAACCCTTATCCCTAAATGATTGAAGCTTGGCAAATGGGTGATTTAATTCCATCTCTAATCTACATGGTGCGTGTCTTTCTAAATCACTATCCACAGGTAAAATTGTGGCCAATCGGACAGTGGATTATGAACAAGTGCAGTGGTTGAACTTCACGGTGCGTGCTCAGGATCATGGCACGCCTCCTCGCTTTGCCGAACTTCCTGTCTATTTGCGCATTGTTGATGTCAACGACAACAACCCAGTCTTTCAGCAACCTTTGTATCAGGTAAATCAGAACAAACCAGAGAGTCAGGGTACTGATGCTTTTCTTTCCTGCTAAATTCAGGAAGAATGTTAATTCTGATGGAGGAAAATAGAGGTGTGAAGCTCATATAGTGGTGTCAAAGTTTGACACCTTAGTGAAAATGCTTCTGTTTTGCTTTTTGCTTATTCAATGAAAAATCGTAATAACAAATTATGGTAAGTATGAATTTTAAGTATGACCAGTGAGTATTTATATGATTATTTAGTTTAAAATAGTGCAGAAAATGTGTCTTAATGCATTTTGTCTTAGCTTTTATTGATGTCACAGTTTTCAAAATTAGTTTATATCAATGCAATGTTAAATATTTTCAGTGTTGCTTTAGGCTTTTCACATTTTCCACAAAAACTTTTAAGCAGCACAACATTGATAAAAATAGGAAATGTTTCTTGAGAACCAAATATTTGAATAATTTCTAAAGGATCATGTGACACTGAAGACTGGAGTAATGATGCTGAAAATTCAGCTTTGCATCACAGGAATAAATTACATTTTAAAATACATTCTAACAGTTATTTTAAATTGTAATAATGTTTCACAATATTAAAATTTTTACTGTATTTTTGATCAAATAAAAGCAGCCTTGGTGAGCATAAAGTAAGAGACGTTTGAACCGAAGCTGTTGTGTATGTTTGTGTGTGCAGAAGTCCATTTTTGAGGATGTTGCACTTGGCACCATTATTGTAAGTGTGAGTGCGACAGATGCAGACTCCGGTCTGTTCTCTGTCATTGAATACGGGCTAGTGGATGGAGAGGGCAAGTTCGGCATCACACCCACTACGGTGAGTGTGTTGGTGTGAAAACAAAAGACAATAAGAATAAGTCAATAAGAAATGCCATTTGTAATGTCATTTATATTCAATGTTGATGTCCTGTGTTATCAGGGTGACATCTACATCCTGTCTGCCCTGGACAGAGAGACCAAGGACCGTTACACTCTCACAGCCTATGCCAGGGACAACCCTGGAGGCAACCCCAACAACCGCAGAGAAAACTCCGTCCAGGTACATACAATGTGTGGATGAGCTGAAAAAATGTGAAATTTCACCCATTTTATTACCTAAGAAAAAATTTTATGCACATCACTTTATAATTATGACTTCTAAACTCAAAAGTAGCAGGCAGCATATCTTGCATCTTTTAGTTGCTAGATAAAATATGTTTAGCTCCGGCTCGTTCAGACACAACCAGATGAACTTGTGTCATAGTTTTATCTCAATGTGAAATCAATGTTCAAACAACCTGTTCTGCAAACTGTAAAGACCAGTTGACCACAGGAAGAAAAACCAAACATGGATAAAATCATTTGAGCAAGAGACCTTGACGCAGTCAAGGCGGAGTCTCCTTCACTTCCAGTTCCTGTTTGAGGATATGAAGAGAGCATCAGCTGTGCAAATGAGGTTTCGCAAGACTTGAAGTGTTTGTGAGGTGTCCAAATGGTCAGCTTGCACTTCCTCTATTCACACTCTGTTGTTATGAGGAAGTGGGAAGTTATAGATGCAAAACAAGCAGAAAATTAAAATACAATCAGCTGATGAAATTTTAAATGCAAACTTTGCATAATATTCATAAGTTCCAGATGTGAGTAAAATGCAAACACAAAGCATTGTGTGCATAGTGTTCCTGTGGCTCAGTGGTGGAGCATTGTGTTACCAGCGCAAAAGGTTGTGGGTTTGATTCCCAGGGAACACACATACTGGTAAAAAATGTATAGCCTGAATGCACTGTAAATAGCTTTGGATAAAAGTGTCTGCTAAATGCATAAATTATTATAAATTAAAGCAGCTTTGATGAGTCCAGATGGGCAGTCTGCATCATCATGATGTGTTTTAAATTGAATTGTTGGTTTGCTGTATTCCCAACCAGTGTTCAGATCTCAGATTCTCTTGTACATGTTTGCATTTTTTGCACAGAATGTTTCAGTTTCATGTGAACAGTTTTGCACGAGCTGACCTCAAAGACTTGGAAAAACAACCAAAAAGCTTTCGCTACTCCGTTGCTGATATTTATTTGGCTAAGATGAAATTCTGATAGCTTGTCATGTACTGTAAATCAATAATAATAGACAACTTACATAAAATTCATATAAATATCAGTTGCACTTTACATCCCCATAATGTCTTAGTAAGATATTTAAATGATTCGTTTTATGATCAAAACTTTTATTGTGGAACAAATCAAATAATGCAGTGATGACTGAGAGATGTAAATAAACATACCTCAAAAGCCTGATGTATTGTATCACATTTTAACATAATTTATTATAATTTTTTTTAATGATGAACTGATAATCAAGTTGCTTCAGTTCAGTAAATGTTCGTCTTTAATATTACCATCAATATAAAAGTTATTCTTACGTTAATTTGTAAAAATACGATTTTGCAGCAGAAAGACACATGTATGTGGACGTTTTTAAAAATTTACTAAACTATTTTCAAATGACAGAATGCATGAAGTAAACAGGTTTTTCAGCAAAGTTTTGATCGTGTTGGTATCTTAGAGGCCTTAGAAATGTGCATATCAAATATGATAAAGTAGGTTTTATCATATTTTTTTGAGGACTTCTACATCATCAAATGTGATGCTTGAAAAATTTCCCATCACTTATTGCTTAATTCTGTGTGTTGCGTGTATTTCAGAGAGGAAGTTTGCCATATCAGTCTCTGTCGGTGCCTGAGCACTCGTCTCCTGGGACTGTTGTGGGCAATGTGACTGGTGCAGTGGATGCGGACGAGGGCTCTAATGCTATCGTCTACTATTTCATTGCAGGTGCGGACACAACATTAAACAACAAAAATTAACCACTGGCATTTGCATCATAATAGTAATAACAAGCCAATGTTAGGCTCCGTTCAGCTGGTACAAAAGAAGTTTATGACTTTGAATTTAATGTGAAGTGGATGTTTCCTGAATAATCATCTTGCAGTAATCTCTCTGCTGGACATATTCATGAAAGAATATAAATATATATATATACAGTATATATATATATATATATATGAAGGTCAGTGAACCTAGGTCTTAGACAAACACTCTTGATCAACTATTGTCGGTCAGGACTCTTTCTTCATAGAACATTTCCACCTACATTTACAAATGTATCACTCAGTTTGCACAATTTAGTTGCATCAGCACAAGATGCTAAAATTCAGATTTCTGAGAAACTTTGAAATTCCCTTGTAAACTTAGCAGAACAATGGTAGTAGTTCATACACGGCCAGTGTAAATGTTTTATTAACTGCATTACTGATGTTCTTTTCTAGGAGGCGATGCCGTGGGAAACTTTGGTATGAGTGTGGCCGGAGTTTTACAGGTCAAAAAAGATCTGGATCGGGAAGAAATCCCAGTGTATTCCATCATTGTTAAAGCGTCCAGTAACCGAAACTGGTCTCCTCCGAGAGGTCAAAGGTCACAGCGGGCCCAAGTGCTTGACCCAAGCCGTGACCCTACGTTACAGGAAGTAAGAATCTTCCTTGAGGACATCAACGACCAATCTCCGAGATTCACAAAGATGGAGTACACTGCAGGTGACAGATTTATTTTTATTTTGATACTATTTTTGCTTGTTATTTTATTTCAGCTTTTGACCACTGTTTTTAGGGTAATTTGTGGTTTTCATTTACTTTGCATAAAATAATATTTATTTATTTGGTCTAAAGCTATCTAGCGCCATTATCAGCTCAAAACTGGGCTTTTCTTCTGCTTGCAAATTTTTAACTCGGTTGGTCTTCTACTTAAGCTACTTCAGCGTCTACTTCTACTTTTTGCTCCTTATCTAAAATTGATTGAATTTGATTTTTCGATCTCTATCATCTTCATTCAGAATTGTAAAATATAAAATAAAATATTAAAGTAAAAGTTATAATCTCACGAAGAAGTAGCATAAATAAGTTATGAAGACAAATTTGCCAAGATAGTTTAGTGCGACCATCATATAACAAAACGAAAAAATATATTATTATATAAATTATTTTTATATTAATTTCTTAATTTATATATATATATATTAATTAATTGATTTATTTATTTGTATTTAATTGCTTTAAAAATGAATTTTATTTTTACGTGTTACGTGTATGTCTCTCTCTCACTCTGTCAGGTGTGGCTGCGGATGCTAAAGTGGGCTCTGATCTGATCCGGGTTCAAGCGGTTGATAATGACATTGGCAACAACAGTCTTGTTCTTTATCACATTCTGTCCATCCGCTACATCAAACTGCATTCCAATGACTCTGAAGACATGGGAAACGTCTTCATCATCGGTCTGTGTGTTTTACACACTCTTCAACTCTCTGTTGAAATGTCCGTTTTTTTGGGGTTTTTTAGTGCCTCTTCTTTCTTTTCAGGTGAGACTGATGGAATCATCCGAACGTTTGACCTGTTTATGGCATATGATCTGGGTTATTTTGTGGTGGAGGTTCTGGCGAGAGATCTGGCAGGACACAGTGACGTGACTCTAGTGGGCATTTACATTCTGAGAGACGACCAGCGGGTGAAAATCGTCATTAATGAGATACCGGAGCGTGTCCGGCTGTTTCAGGAGGAGTTTATAAACCTGCTCTCAAACATCACAGGAGCCATAGTTAACACTGATGACGTACAGGTACATGTGTGTTTGTGCTGTCTTTATAAATATCATTAAAAATGAGATTACAGTCCTTATCTGTACAAAGTTAGATCAATATTTCTCCTGTCATAACCATGCAATTGAGTGAATCAGATATTTCTTTCCCATAGTTTCATGTGGATAAAAAGGGAAGAGTGAACTTCGCTCAAACCGATGTTATGATTCATGTGGTCAACAAGCAGACCAACCGTATTCTAGATGTGGAGAGGTAAGACTTATATACAGTACCAAACATGACCTACATGTCAAATGGGTGTTTCTTGAGCTATACCGGTTGCTTTATCATCTACACTATGATAATCAAACATAGAAATATTGATTGTTGCATTAAATTGATGCAGTAGTCTCATCCACAGTTGCTTTGATCCATTGAGGATGATTGGTTGATTCACTGAATTGGTTTTCAGGGTGATTCAGATGATCGATGAGAACAAGGAGCAGTTGAGGAATCTGTTTAGAAACTACAACGTTCTGGATGTTCAACCTGCTGTGACCGCTCGTGCACCTGATGACCTCACCACCTTACAGGTGTGTGTGTGTGTGTTTGTAGACAGTGTATTTCTTGTATTAAAAAGACATTATATACAGCATGAATGCCTATTTATCTCTTTCAGATGGCTATTATCATCTTGGCAGTTTTACTCTTCCTTGCTGCCATGTTGTTTATCCTGATGAACTGGTATTACCGCACAGTGTAAGTACTTTCATTAGAGAATCTTATGAAGCATTAGATTCTTGTGGAAAGAAGCACCACATCAAATCCTGTTCTGTCGTTTGTCATGTTCAATGCATAACAAGGTATCTGAGGTTCTATTATAAGATCTGAGGTTTTTGTTTCTTGTTTTTAACAGGCACAAAAGGAAGCTGAAGGCAATTGTTGCTGGCTCCACAGGTAAGCTGCCGGGAATATCCCATCGCTCCGAAGCTGAGACTAATCCTCACATGAGTTGAAGTTTAACAGTCATGGCTTTGTGTTTGTTGTCATGGTAAAAGCATGTTTGGTTTGTCACTCTCTATCTGCAGGAAATCAGGGGTTGATGGATATTCTGGATATGCCCAACACAAACAAGTACACATTTGAAGGGTGAGTGAGCAATACAATGGTGTTGTTGATATGAGCCTTTATGTATATGTGTTAACAGAGCTCCAGACTGCTAAAATAATCACACGTGTCACAAAACTTAACATACTCTTAATATATGAGATATGTTCAAAATGCAATGTTGGTTATTATCTAGCATAGACTGAATTGTAAGGTTTAACTGATTGTATCTCAATGCTTCTCTTTCGCTGTTTGTGTGCTTATAGAGCAAATCCAGTGTGGCTAGATCCTTTCTGCAGGAATCTGGAGTTAGCAGCACAGGCGGAGCATGAGGACGACCTTCCTGAAGACTTGAGTGACATTGCTGACCTCTGGAACAGTCCGGCTCGCACACACGTAATAAACTCACAAAAACGCTGACAGAATTATGCCATGGTGCATGTATTGTCATAGACCTTCTCTTTGTCTTCTCTTGCCTTTGTGGGGTACTTAAGTGTCATCTTCACTTTGTAGGGTACTAAATAAATATCTTGTCTTTTATAGGGTACATTTGGACGTGATCCTCAGGCTTCTAAACCAGAGGATGACCGATATCTACGAGCTGCTATTCAGGAGTATGACAACATCGCCAAACTAGGACAAATCATGAGAGAGGGGCCCATCAAGGTGAGAACATTCGCTAGAGAACATAAACAGGCAAACCGTAAAATCTTTGTCATAGAGGATCATCATAGAGCTTCAGTACTTTTTCAGGCCTGATTCCTAGACTCAAATCCAAACTTGAACATATTTCAAATGTATTTTCAGTTTAGAATCAACATTTATGGTGTTATTTTGTCCAAACCAAGACTTAATCTCAGTTTGGGACCCAATATAATATAATGTGGAGTGAGATCATGTTCTTAAATGAGGTGAAATATCAGAATCATGCTGTAGGATTCCGTTCATAAGACACCACATGACCAATGCTGCCATCCAATCAGGGCTCGCTGCTCAATGTGGTTCTGGATGACTATCTGAGACTCAAAAAGCTGTTTGCCGCCCGCATGGTCACCAAGTCAACCAGCCACGGTGACCAATCATCAGTCACAGAGGTGGGCAATGTGACAGGTTGCTGTGTTTGCTCTTCTTCTACACCCCTCTTCCTCACTGCTGGCTGACTATGTCTCCACCCTGTCCTATCAGTAGAATCCCTAGGTTCTCCTGCTGTCCAGAGTCATGTGACCCTGCTGATGTTTCCCAGGCTGGTTCACAGCCTGCTCACTGCTCTTCACTGCTTCACAGATGTGTTTGGTGCTCTCTCTTGGTGTTTCCTCTAAAACTGCTGTCAAATTCTAAGATTTTGTGTTGTTAATGTTTATTTTTCTCCTTCTTCCTTACATTGTCTTGCATCCATCCATCCACCAATCTCTAATTCCATTTATTAATCTATTATAAAATCCATAATGTCAATCATATCATCACTCCATCTATCCTTTCTTCTGTCCAACCATCATGCATCCATTTATTCATTCATGCATCTACCAATGCATCCATCTGTAACTGAATTTGTCAATAATTGCATCCCACCATTCATCCATTCATCACTGTATCCATCATTCCTTTTATTCATCCATCATGCATCCATCTGATTGATAACTCCATCCCATCATCCATACATTCATCACTCCATCATGCATCCATCTACCAATCCATAAATGTATCCGACCATCCATAATACCATTCATCAACCAAACTATTAATTCCTCCACCCATTTACCCATTCATCCATGCATCTATCCATCCGTGCAACTATTGCGTCTGTCCATAATTCCATCTCACCATACATCCATCATTACATCCATCCACCAATTCATAATTCATCAATCAATGTTTGCATATGTCCTTAATTACATCCCACAAATGTGCATCCATGACTCCATCATTCCATTCATCGAATGATCATTGTATCCTACATTCCTACATTGTATCCATCCACCAATCCATTTAATCATCCATCCATCCATCCATGTATCCATGCATTCATCACTCCATAATTTTCCTTTCCATTAAATCCTGCATCATTTCATTCATTCATCCATGTTCTCCTCTCCCAGCTGATCCAAAGTGACCTGGATGAAGATGACGATGAGCGTGCTGGTGTTGGAGGTCGAGGAACCCTTCGCTTCAAGCACAAACTACCGATCGAGCTCAGGGGTCCTGACGGGGTGCACGCAGTTCACGGCAGCACAGGCACGCTGTTGACCTCTGACCTAAACAGCCTGCCTGAAGATGACCAGCGTGCTCTGGCACGCTCCCTTGAAGCCTTGCACACAGATGGCGGACTGTATGCCGAACGCAATGCCCGAACAGAATCTGCAAAATCCACACCTTTGCACAGAAACAAGGGCAGCGACACTCTATCTGAGAGTCCGTTAGAGATCACAGAATTATGACTAGCCGAGGCCTCGCTGGTCTGAGAAAACTACAATGTGCATGCCACTCCTGGCTCTTTGTTATCAACGGGAACTCTTTCCTGCGATGTGGAGAAGAGTTCAGGTTTGTAAGGGCCAGGTGTGAGGAGGGTGTGTAGGTGTGTGTGTGTGGACCTGGAACGCCCAAATCAAGGGTGGCTCATCTTGTCAGGGCTATTTCAAGAGTACCGAGACTTTTAACACATACACTCAAACTACACAATGGGCAGCGAATGCACTCTCAGACCAGTGGAAGGCCGAATACGGACATTAGTTTTTATTTAGTTACTTTTTCATATTTCGATAGGACACCAGGGAATAACATGATCATGTATGTGTATAATGAACTGTTTGAACAGCTTATGAGAGTATATCTCTGGGGCTTTTCACACCGCAATTAACCCTGGGTTAAGCAACATTTCACACTTGGAAATTGAAAAAGGGTTTAACTCTGGGTTCTGAAGCTAGAACAGGGTTAGCACTGTTTATTGCAGTGCCATGGGTATATAGTCTGAAACTGTGCAGAGCTAGTAAATGTTGATGAGTTTAGTAACAGACAACCAGCCGTAAATGAAATCATTCAAATCATTCATGCATGGCTGCAGGAAGTATCTTTTTACGATTCGTAAAATAGTCAATGTTTTAAAATGTTGAACAGTGATGGTAAACTTTAACTGGAGAGATTATGAAACAGTATTATTTTTGTATGTATATATTTTTTTGCTATAGTGTTTAAATTCACAAAGCACGATTACAGAAATACTCCGTTTTCATGCAGGCAATCCAAACAGTTGCCATGTCTGCCATTGGTCGAAAAAGGGCCCCAAACGCACCCCATTGATTGAGCTAAAGTTGCGGTGTCTTTTCGCCCTATTCAAACTTCAGATGACTGACTTCTAGCTGCCGTTACTGCTATAGTATTATTGCGGTACCCATACTTCAAAATACCGGCTGTGTCACAGTATTTTCCTAATGGTTCCGTAATGCATGTAAATATTTACACATGCAGAACTGAAACGTTTGGCATGTAGTTGATTTTCTTTCCTAATAATTGCTTCAGGGTGTGAACTTGAATGGTGTGAACTGTGAATAATTGATTAATTAACAGAGCTGAATAATGTAATAATGTCGTATCCAAATAATTTGTGTGGGACTACGATAATGCTCTTTAAATGATGAAAAATATGACGCGCCTCACCTTTAAGGCAAGATGGCCACATTCCCACGTGCTTGTAAAAGCAGGTTGCGTGCTTTAAAATGAAACAAATTGTGTTCCCAGAACATGACAACATGTGGTAGAGTATTAACAATAGGAAAATGTGCATTATTATTTATATTTATTTAACAAACAAACCAACCCTGGGTTAACAGGTATGTGTGAAAAGTCCATCTGATATAAAGAAGAAACGACCACAAGCTGCTGTGTGCTGGTGTCTTTACAGTGAGATTTAAGACATTACAAAAATGACTTCATGAACTCCATCTATAAAAAATTGTGAACTATCTGAAAAAAAGTGGAAGACTGCATTGAAGAAAATAGACTAAAAGCTGTTCCATGGACCAATGGGGAAAGCCAGTTAGCAGACCAAACACTGTTTCCACTGAACTTACTGAGGCCAGAGGTTTGTCTGGTCAACTAACAAAACATTTCATTTTTGCTTGAACTGAGGGACTTCTGTGTGTTGTGTTTTAATAAAAAATGGCAGTGACACTAATGCTTGAAAGTTTCATGAGATTTGAACTTAAAGGGTTAGTTCACCCCAAAATGAAAATTTTGTCATTAATTACTCACCCTCATGTCGTTTCAAACCCGTAAGACATCCGTTCATCTTCGGAACACAAATTAAGATATTTTTGATGGAATCTGAGAGCTCTCTAACCTTCCATAGACAGCAATGCAACTGAAATGTTCTGTTACATCGGTAAAACAGTCCATGTGACATCAGTGGCTCAACTTCAATTTCGCGAAGCTACGAGAATACTTTTTGTGCGCAAAGAAAACAAAAATGACGACTTTATTCAACAATTCTTCTCCCCCGAGTTACTGTCTTCCGCCATTTTGGAGAGTTATCACAACGCATGCGCATGCTATACCCTGAGTGTAAACAACGCTGATTACACCGATTATGTTCATGCGCGCGCTTTCCCCCCGAACGTAAACAACGCCGATTACGTTCTTGGGTACTCTCCAAAATGGCAGAAGACGTAACTCAAGGGAGAAGAATCATTAAATAAATTATTTTTGTTTTCTTTGCGCACAAAACGTATTCTCGTAGCTTCGCAAAATTGAAGTCGAACCACTGACGTCACATGGACTGTTTTGCCGATGTCCTTGCTACGTTTCTATCTGGGAACATTTCAGTTGCATTGCTGTCTATGGAGGGTCAGAGAGCTCTCAGATTCCATCAAAAATTTCTTAATTTGTGTTCCGAAGATGAACGAAGGTCATAAGGGTGAGTAATTAATGACATGGTTTTCATTTTGGGGTGAACTAACCCTTTGAAAAGACAAAAAAAAAAAAAAAAAGAAAAAGTCAAGTTAAAATATAAGTCATTGACAGAACACTGCCACCTAAAAGGGGGAAATACCATGTTTTTATTTTCCTTTACTTTTTGATATACAACAATAAAGATTACAAAAGATATTTTTGGAAAAGAAAACTGCTGACTTACCAGAGTTGAGTATAAATAGTTGTATTTAAGTGTATTTATTTTTCAACATTTTATACCGAATTATTTGAATGGTGTGTGTTGTAAGGCATTATTATTTTTATATTCCCCTTTTTTTGTTGTTATTGTCTGGTCACCAGCGTTGAGGCTGTAGATGAAAAATCTGTGGATCCTGTTTGAATAAAGGAAATGTGCAACAGTTTTGCCTCAAGGTCCTGAAGATAATAAAATATTGACCAAAGCAAGAGTCATCATGAGGACGGCATTCCTCTATGTATTGAAGCCCAGCAGCAGGATATTAAAGAGAATAACGTGGCCCTTATGACACACAAAATGAAATATCTCAAAAAGTCCTGTTACTTATTGAATTGTGTATTCATATCAAACTGGAAAAGTTAAACAATCCTGACACCCATTAAAAAAACGCTGCTGTCAAAAGGTATTTTTTTGTGAGAATATATTGAGTGTCCAAAGTTGTCCAAAATAAATGGAAAGAAAAATTTAGTTTTGTATTGTTTTAAATGCTCCTGTGAATACAAAGATTCTTCTGCCATCTAGTGGCATTTATACTAGTAGAATAGCAGGCCTTCATGTTTGTAAATAAGTGTATATACAGATGCTCAGAGCCTCATTTTTGAAACATATGCATTATAAAACCATTATGTAAATGGTCACTGAATTTAATTTGATAATGCATGCAAGCATTGTATATGAATAATTAAAGAACTTTGTTTCGGGTCCACTATATTTAAGATGTAAACTCAAAAAAGACTCCAAACTACAGCCACATCAAACTTTATTGACTTCCATCAGTTTCACTTGTTTTTGACAGACCTCATTATTATATTATAGTTCAGAAATGGCCTCCGATTGGTTCAAGAGTATCAGAGGAGGTTCCTGATAGGTTGAGAAGGTTGGCCTGTGATTGGTGGATATCACAGTCAGATCAAATTAGGGTTTGATTGGTTCTTCTGGTGGGACCTGCATTAAGTGGCACGTGACGTGGTGCTGGTCAAACTCGAAGGGGCACCAGTCAGAGGCATTTTCTTCAGCGTTCGGTTAAGCTACAGAAGATAAGAAAGGTACAATCAAAATGTGACAACACGGATGTTTAATTCAAAAATAGATCCATAAACTGTAATTTACAGAATATGTATATGAATGCTATATGATATTATTCAATAATCCACTGTATATGAATTATTCAAGCATGTGTACCTCCTCAAACTTGTGGATCTGTCGGATAAAGAAATCTCCATAGCGACGGGCAACCTTGGTGTCTGCAATATGGATCATATCCTGATGGAACACCAAGTAAATTCATTTTTAGAATGACTCACAAAGTCATCTCACCAGCAAAACAAAATACATCTAAGCCTATTAAATATTTAATTATTTTAAAGATAAGACGACAACTGGCATGACTGTGGAAGCCATATATTTAATCTCATAAATAAGTGTTTAATTTGGCAGTTCTAGTTTAAAGACAGAAACTCAACACAAACACACACACACACCTTGTCGATGTAGAAGTCGACCTCAGAGGCAGACTGAAACTCTCCATCCAGAGCAGAGATACCGCTGGTCCACACCAGGTTCTTCATCTTGTGTTTGAAGACCAGCAGCTGGATGCGAAACTCCTGCTCGGACATGTCCAGGAATCCAGCCAGTTTGGCCACAGGCATGGTGGTGTAGAGCTTCA